TCATCATCATCAGCATCATCATCAGCATCATCATCAACATCATCAGTCGGCAGCGGGCGAGGGGGGGGAGCGGGAAGGAGAAGGCCTTCCCAGAAGGCGGCGTGACTTCTCAAAAGCCCTCGCGCCTTCTGATAAGTGTCCTGCGCATTCGGGGAAGGCTCAGAAACTTCTCCGAATGCAGGGGGGCTTACGAGACTTCTGAGAAGACCCGCCCCCTTCTCATTCCCCTCCAGCTCGCCGCCTCATCATCATCATCATCATCATCATCATCATCATCAGCATCATCGGCATCATCAGCATCACCATCATCATCTATCATCTATCATCATCGTCATCATCACCATCATTAACATCATCATCATCATCATCGTCGTCGGCATCATCATCATCATCATCATCATCATCGTCATCGTCATCGTCATCGTCATCATCATCATCGTCGTCGTCTTCGTCATCGTCATCATCATCATCACCACCTCATCCAGTATCATCACCACCACCACCACCTTATCATCATCATCATCATCATCATCATCATCATCATCATCATCATCATCATCAGCATCATCATCATCACCATCACCATCATCATTACCAACATCACCACCATCATCATCACCAACTTCGTCATCGACCTCGTCATCATCCTGACCATCACCACCACCACCATCATCATCATCGTCGTCATCTTCATCATCATCATCACCACCATGCTCATCATCATCATCAACATCAGCATAATCATCATCGTCATCATCAGCATTGCTACCATGAGCACCATCATCGTCACCATCATCATTATCATCATCATGGTCATCACCGTCATCATCATCATCATCATCATCATCATCATCACCATCATTATCATCATCATCATCGCCATCATCATCAAGCCTGTCCTTATAAACAACGCCTCCCTGTCGCACCCTAGGCGGGCCGAAAGAACGGGCCGGGCGCTTCTCCCGAGACTTCCCTGTTACCTATGGAACTGAAGATCCGAAGTTGGCAACAGCCTCACGCTTCACAGCCGGAGGGCGGGTCGCTTCCAAGATGTGGCTCTCGCCTTCGCGCCGCGCACATCCGCACTACAAAGTGCAACAGCGTCACGGATGGAGGACGCGGTTCCTCTTCAAAATGTGTTTCTCGCCTGGGCGCCACGCACATTTGCCTTACGAAATGCATGAGCTTCACGGATTCCTATGGACACCCTACCAGAAATGGTGAACCGGAGCGACGTAGGATCGCCAGGGCGCAACAGTAACAGTGTTTCGCGGTGTTGAAATCCTAGGAAGGATGTTCTGGCACGGTTCAGGATCGTGAAGACGCATCAGAAAGGTTGATTCGTGGCGCTGAAATCCGATGAATAGTGCTTCGGCACGGATCAAGATTTTCAAGCGGGTTGTCTCCAAACGGGGCATTTCACCCTCTGGAAATGAATCCTTCTAGGGGCCTGTGAAGAGGGAGCTTGGAGGGAGAGTTGACTGCAACATCGTCGATGAATATTGGGCTTACAACGGTTATTATCTTCCTCCTCCTCCTCGTCGGTCGTCGTCATCATCGTCGTCGTCGACGTCGTCGTCGGCGTCGTCATCAACATCAACATCAACATCATCATCATCATCATCATCATCATCATCATCATCATCATCATGATCATGATCATCATCATCATCATCATCATCATCATCATCATCATCATCATCATCATCATCATTAGCATTATCATTATTATCATTATTATTGTCATTACCATCATCATCAGTATTATCATCACCATCAGCAGCAGCATCATCATCATCATCACCATCACCATCAACAACACCAGCCTCATCATGATCACAACCACCATCACCACCACCACCATCATCATCATCATCATCAGCATCATCAGCAGCATCAGCAGCATCATCATCAGCATCAACATCATTCCGCAGCCACCGGCGCTGCCGACGCCTCCGAGGTCGTCGTCGTCATCGTCTCCCTTGTCATAATCATCATGGTAGTCATCGCCCTCCTCCTCCTCAACATCATGCCTTGCCTGCGAGCGCTTTGACGCAGCGTCCCCTGATTCTCGTGACTCCTCCTCCTCATCATCCTACCTCCCTCCCTCCTACGTACCCCCTCCCTCCCTCCCTCTCCTTGCCATCCTCCTCCTCCTCCTCCTCCGCCTCCTCGTACTCCTCCTCATCCCTTCAGCGGAGGCGGTGCCACATAATCTGCGGCACCAGCCTTCTGCCCCCGTGCTTGGGATCGCGGGTCCTCTTCCAAGACCGTGCGTCTCCCCTCCTCCCCCCCCAGGGGTGGCAGGACGAGCAGCAGGAGCAGCGGCGGGAGGCGCAGCAGCCGGGGCGGCCGAGAGAGAGGGGGCCTCCTCCTCCTCCTCCTCCTCCTCCTCCTCCTCCTCCTCCTCCTCGCTCCTCGCTCCTCGCTCCTCCTCCTCCCTCCTCCTCCTCCTCCTCCTCCTCCTCCTCCTCCTCCTCCTCCTCCTCCTCCTCCTCCT